CATTTTCCCCATATGACCTGCTAGACAGGCAAATGGACTCATGTCAATTCCTTAAAAATAAAATTAAAAAGCCTCGCCTTTGCCTTTGGCTCCCTCTGTAACATTTTCTGGCAAACTCTTCCACGTGGTATCATGTCCCTGCTTACAAATCACTAGTCTATGAGCTCCTATAAAGGATTCTATACTTATTTTTAATAATCCACACCCCACTACTATTGAACAATAATAGCTAGTATTCATAAGGGCCATAGGTTTCCAGTGGCTAAACATTCAGAAGTAGCCCACCTCTCCTGAGTCTCAGTCTGCAAGCTCAGCTGAATTTGTTCACCATGGGTGACCCTGCCCTTATTCTAAATACCAGTGACATGGTTTCCAGCATCACAGCAACAAGCAAGTTACCACAGTGCAACAAACTGACAGACGAGTGGTTGAAATTTGGACAATGAATAAGGAAGACTGTAGAAGAATTGATACATTTGCGTTATGGTTTTGGAGAAGAATATTAAAGCCTGCCAAAAGAACAACCAAATCTGTGTTAGAAGTACAACCAGAATGCTCCTTGGAAGTCAAGATGGTCAGACTTCGTCTCTTATACTTCAGATATATTATCAGGAGGGACCAGTCCCTGGAGAAGGACATCATGCTTGGCAAAGTGGAAAGACAGTGAAAAAGAGGGAGAGACGCTCCCCCCCCCCACAACAAGGTGGGTGGGCACAGTGGCAGGAGCAATGGGCTGAGGCATAGCAGCAATTGTGAGGGTGGAGCAGGACCAGCAGTGTTTCATTCGGTTCAACATAGGGTCTCTATGAATTGGAACCAACATGATGGTACTTAACAACAAATTACTGAGCATTCACTGTTTCTAAGCACCTTGCATAAAATACATTTAAATTTCACAATAACCTTTTTAAAATGTTGTTGTTGTTGTCAGTTTCCACTCGTGTGCAACCTGTGCACAACAGAAGGAAACGTTGCCTGTCCCTGCGCCATCCTTACAATCATTGTTACTCTTGAGCCCATTACTGCTGTGCTAATCCATCTCGTGGGGAGTCGTCTTCTTTTTCCATGACCCTCCATTTTACCAAGCATGATGTCCTTCTCCAGGGGCCAGTCCCTCCTGATAGTTTGTCTGACAGATGAGAGACTAAGTCTGGCCTCTCTGGCTTTTCAAATTTTCATTACAGCCTTTTGCTTGTAGCAAGGTTTGCAGTTTTTTCTAGGTTGTAATTTGTCTTTGGGCTTTGCTTAGAGTGCATTTTGCTGTGTAGTGCAATTAATTGTGCTCTTGAGGAACCTGTACATAGCTGAAAAGGCAGTCATTGGAACAGAACAAGAGGACACTGAATGGTTTAAAATCAAGAAAGGTATGAGCCAGTGTTGTATTCTTTCACCATATTTATTCAATCTGTATACTGAGCAAATAATCAAAGAAACTGGATTACATGAAGAACATGGCATCAGGACTGCAGGAAGACTCATTAACAATCTGATATGCTGATAATACAATCTTTCTTGCTGAAAGCAAAGAGAACGTAAAATACTTATTGATGAAGATCAAAGACAACAGCCTTTAGTATGGGATGTACCTCAATGTAAAGAAAACAAAAATCCTCACCACTGAACCAGTAAATAACTAATGCCTAGGATCTGGTCGCATAGTGGTTTATGAGTCGGGTTGCGAACCTCAGGGTCAGCAGTTCGAAACTACCAGCTGTTCCCTGGGAGAAAGATGAGGCTTTCTGCTCCCATAAAGATTACAGCCTTGGAAACCCTGTACGGGGTCACTATGAGTTGGAACTGACTTCATGGAACACAGCCACCACCGCTACCAATGCCTAAGATATATATCTTTATGCATTCCATTTCATTTTTGACAACTTCCGATTTTCTTAGATTAATACTTTGTGCATCCCATGTTTCAATTATTAACGGATGTTTACAGCTGTTTCTCTTTATTTTGAGTTGTGTCCCATCAACAAATGACACAAAAGCTTTACTCCATTTGCGTCATCATGGTTAAGTCTACTTTCAGGAGGCAATTCTTCGCCAGTCATATTTTGAATGCCTTCCAACATGAAGGGGCTCATCTTCTGATACTATACCTGACAATATTCTGGTGCTATTCATAATGCTTCAATATTCAATATTCTGATGCTATCTGACAGTGTTCCACTGCTATTTAAAGAGTTTTCAGTGGCTAAATATTCAGAAGGATTCTGTCTCTCCTTTTCCCTAGTCTTTGCTAGTCTGGAAGCTCAGCTAAAACATGTCCACCATGAGTAACCTTGCCTGTATTTAACACTGCCATAACTTCTGGCATCACAGCAACATGCAAACCATCAGAGTGTGACAAATTGACAGAGTGGTGGAGAGGATTAAAGGTGGGATTGTTGTTGTTGTTGTTGTTAAGTGCCATTGAGTCGATTCCAACCCATAGCAACCCTGTATAGGGTTTCCAAGGAGAAGCTGGTGAGCTTGAACCACCAACCTTGTAGTTCAAACGACTTTGCAGTCTGACACATTAGTCCACAGTGCCACACCAGAACTGGTTATTGTTGTTAGGCACCACAAAATCAGTTCTGACTCATATAGGGTTTCTGAGGCTTTTAAAAATCTTTGTGGGAGGCAAGAAGTGACTGGCTTACAAGTTTTCAAGAGGGAACCTAGAGCCAGGGGGCATGGAGGAAGGCAGAATCTCCAGTGAATACTATTCAATCTGTCTAGGCAGAGCTGATGAAATGAAATGCAGATGGGTAACTTGTGATACAATAGTGAATAACTGTTATCAGGACTGATTGTGAGGGTTGGAAATGTAAAGGTAGACGTTTTATAGCAAGGAAGGGAGTGATTAACTCTCCAGTCTAGGACCTAAGGTCTCTAGGACCATCAACGGAGAAGAGCCAAGAGCGGGACCCTACCCAGAGAAGCAGCGAGGCCCCCGAGAGAGGCAGAGATGTTGACATGGATTGAGGAAGCGGCTGGGGACTTCGGATCCAGAGAGGGAGAGGGACTGTGTGCTGAAGACTGGGGGGGGGGGGGGGGTGTGCTTGTAGGGTATACCCTTTGGTTGGTTGATTGGAACCATGGCAATGAAAGGATATACGACAGAATGAATGTAAAACTAAAGTTCTCTCATGTAAACTATCATATAATTCACAATAAAACATTAAAAAAAAAATCTGTGTGGGAGCAGAAAACCTCATCTTTCTTCCATAGAGTGGCTGGTGGGCTCAAACTACTGACCTTGTGGTTTGCAGTCCAGTGCTCATGCTATGAAGCCACCATGCATGCTCCAAGAGCTTTGAAAAAGACACTATAAATATCCTCCCTATTTTACAGATTCAGAGTCCTGGAATAGCGCTGCAGGTTAATGAGCTGAACTTTATGGTTTGAACCATAAAATTGACAGTTCAAGTTCACTAGCCGCTCCTCAGAAACCCTATACAGAGTTGCTATGAGTCGGAACCGACTCGACGGAACTTAGCAGCAAAAACCATCTTACAGATTCAGAAATTGAGACCCAGTAGCTCAAGAACACATGGTTGGTCAGTGATGGTCATGAAATTTGAACTCAGGCAGTCTGGTTCCCAAGCCCATAGTCATAGCTACTGTGCAGCCTTGCCTACTGTAGCATGCTACATAGTGTGGAGGGTTGACTGGGTTAAGAGTTAAGCAGGTGTTGGATGGATTGGTAGCTAATACAGGCAAAATAGTTTTAATCCCCAAATAAAAATAAAGGTGGTGGCAAGCAAAGCTATTGTTAGGATGTTGTTGTTGTTGTTGTTAAGTACTGTTGAGTCAGTTCTGACCCATAGCGACCCTGTATAGGGTTTCCTAGGAGTGACTAGTGAGCTTGAACCGCCAACCTTGCTGTTCAAACGGCTTTGCAGTCTGGCGCATTAACCCACAGTGCCATACCAGGACTCCATTGTTAGGATAGTGGGTGCCAATTGAGAGAACAAAGTGGAGATGGGATGAAAGAGGGTCAGTAAAGGTATGTGGCTGGCAGAGTAAAGGGTGACACTGTTGATGACAAAAAGAGGCCATCTGTGGGACTCATGAGGAACAGGGAAAAGCTGATGGAGGGGCTAGGCTCCCAGGCTACGGGACGCAGCAGTATAGTACAGAGGTCATGGGCAAATCAGTTCAGAGTTTGGGGAACTTGCCGACCCCAGGTGATGGGAATAGGGTGACTTTGTGCAAACCCTGAGGATGCTCTAACAGCAGCAAGAGTAACGGAGGGCTGAACTCCAACCTTCCACCCCCAGCACCTACCCTTGCAATGTTGATGTGACGGCCCTTCTTGTGGGGTTCTTTGCCCCAGCTAGTCACCCCAAGAACTGCTCTATGTGCATAGCAAAGTTCACTTCACCAAACTATGAGACCTGCTGCAGGTCTAGAGCCCTATAGGCAAAAAATCTAAACACTTTTTGAGAAGTTTTATTTTAAAAGTTGGAGACACAACAAGAGGCAGAAGGCTGGAGACTGGTACTGTCCTGTCTCAGGTTCTCAGGTTCTCAGGTTCTCGACAGACTTGAGTCCACAGGTACTTGGACAATCTGTGGGTTCCCAAAGAATAGACCCACCCACGTCATCTCTCAGCTTCCTACTCCTCCCACACTGCTTGCTTCCTGTGTCTGAGGAGACACTGAGGTGCGTGTGGGGGTGGAGGGCCTGGGGAGATTTGAGGGAGGAGGAGTGGGGAGGATCTGTTCTCACTCTAAAAGGGAGAGGAAGTAAAAACCCAGGAGTTGAGGGGTACAGATGAATAGATAGGGAAAAAGAGGTGCAGGAACACTGTCTTTTCTTGACGCATCCTTAAGAAATTGGGGGCCTGCCATTGCCCTAAAATGTCTCCCACAAGCTCAGGAAGTTTGGGGAGTATCACCTGTGACAGGGCGATGTTTCCTTGTCATGGGGGGTGGCTGGGTGACAGTTATGCCCCCGCCAGAGTCACAGTAACACCTGAAACGGGGGAGGCTGGGAGAGGTAAGGCCAACTCAGCTGGGGGCCAACTGGCTATTGGCATAGGCCTGATCCGGGAAGGAGGTCCTGGCTCTGCGGGTCTGGGCGCACACTGAAGCATATAGTTCCGGCTCAGGGTCTGAGACCTTGGCCTTTGGCTCAGAGTCCAGCACCACCTCTGAGTACTTGATGGGGGCCCCAGGGCTGGGGACTCGACCTTGAGGAGGCCACAGCTGCAGGCTGGTGTAGCACATTGCCTCCTCTGCAGCCTGGAGATGTAAAACTGTTAGTTCACGGGATCCTCGACCTACCTGCTTCCCTCCCCTCTTTTTCAACCCCAGCTGACTCACCCTGGTGGGGCCCCCAGGGGCTGGATCCTGCTGCTCTGGCCTTGGTTCTTGAGACAGTCGTCCTGGGACAGAGATCAGGAATTTGGTCAGTTTCTTGTTCCTCCTCCTGCAGCCCCACCTCCCCATGATCTGTCCTTAGCACCCCTGCCCTCTGCCAGCTCCCTACCTGTCTGCAGATAATGCAGGTTCCCATACAGGGGGGCCTCTTCCACAGACCCTCCAGAGCTACAACATAGAGTGTGGGAGTGAGCGGCGCCTTCTTGGTAAGGTGGAACTCTCAATCAGCCCACCCTCATGTTGTTCCCTACTCACCGTCCCTGCCCTGAATGGCTCCTGCTCCGGCCACTGGTCCACTGGGATAAGTGTGCAACCAGTGAGACGAAAAGCATTAGCGTCACCGCCCCTAAAATGGCCCATAATCCCCAGGCCTTTTTAATGGAGGGGATTCCTGTGAACAGGAGAGATGGGGGTGGTAACTGCTCAGCCAAACCCCCAGATCCAGGCAGGTGGAACACTGGGCTTCACAGCCCTTCCCCAGGAGCCCCTGCCCTGCCCAGCTCACCAGCTAGTAGATCCAGATCCGTGCTGTTGTCACCTCTATACATGACTGCTGCTGATGGAAAAGCTGTGTCCCCAAGCACTTGGCCCTGAGCTGAGAAGTCAACCTGGTTCACGGTCTAACAGTCCCCCTCATTCCCATCCTTCCCTGGACCTGGGCCCCACAGCTCAGCATCACCAATACTGATGATGGCAGTCGCTGGTTTCCGGGCGAGGAAGGGGGAGGGGAAGGACTGGGGTGAAAGAACAAAGACACCGCCCTGTGCACTGCACCTGCAAACTCCTGCAGTTCCCAAGAGTCCCCCACGGGCCTGTGCCCTCATGGGCCCGAGAGAAGAATGACCAGGTCTGGGTGTACAGGCCACTTATAAGTCAACCCCTGAAGACTGAGGAGAGGGAGAGAATGACTTGCTTATGGAGACCAGGAGTGGTGTGAGTTGGGAGTTAAACCAACAAGGACAGGACACCAGACCCTAGAATCCCCTCCTGCCAAAAGGTTCTTTCCTCTCCTCTTACCTTGAAGGAAAATACGCATGTCAATAAGAAGGTGATAAAGTGTAGTAGGATGGGAGACCTCCTGGCACTTCCAATCCCATCACACCCTCTGGCTGACCTAAGGGTAATACATTTAGAGAATTGCTGCCATTATTACTAGTATTATGGTTTGTGGGAGAGTGGAAACTTGATGCTTCTCCCTCCCACCCACCTGCTTCATCCAGACTATCCCTAAGAACTGTCACTCTTAATATCACTAGATCTAAAAAGACCTCTCTCAGCCACCCTGAGGGAAACTGAGTCATGTCTTGGGGAGTGGAGTACCTGCCATGCCTCAGAGATAGCCTGACCACACAGGAAGTTAATAGTGAGAACACAGATTTTTAAGTTCCAAATATAAACCTTAGACCAGAGGTCAGAGATATATTTTGTTTGGCCCATGTAATACTTTGGGGTTTTTTCTTTTTTTTAATTTACAGCTGTGGTGTGTCAAAAATGAGGATTGTATATCAAGGAGAGGTTCAGTATCTCCAGTTGCAGGTAGTAAGGGGGTGCATTGACTACAAAAAATGTCAAAACAAAGAGGAAACAGACTAAATTTTAGCATCCTTTTTATTATCACCATGTACCAGCCCAGAGTGTCAGTGTAGGATAAAGAACTAGACCACAAGGTCAGTGGTTCAAATCCACCAGCTGTTCCTCGAAAACCCTATGCAGGATCACTATGAGTCAGAACAGACTTGACAGCACTTACCAACAACCAGCAATT